GGTGCGTAAACCTTTATGTTTTTATGTTTATATATCATTTCATTTCACCACTGATTATAAATAAATGACTGTATTTGATCTGGTAAAATATATAGCTCTGTGTTCATGCTAATAAACATATTCTCGTTTTGCATTACTGCTTATAATATTTACATAAAATAAATCATGATGTACCATTATTGCAATTAAGATGAGCTATATAGAATAATGCGAAAACGGTTACTCAAACAAACAGAGAAGTCACATTAAGATAAAGCTATACTACTTTATAGAAAGATAAAAAAACGCACCAGAAAAAACAAATGTATAGATGGATAGAGATCACATAGGAATAAATGCTACTAGAGGGTGAGTCAAGTAGGCCCATAGCCCACCTTAACCTGGTTAACGAGATGCAGACATAACAAAAATGCTATTTCGTGGTAATGACAAAGCTTACTTATCTATTACGTAATAACGACACAACTATGTCATTATTACGAGCTAGCTAAGTCGTTATTACGACATAACATTTTTGTTCTCGTTGGCCCGTACCGGCTTCCGTAGGAACGTTTACCTTATATATTCCGGTGAGAAGTATCATGTACACATTCAGGTAGCTAGGGATCTACACATAATACGTCGTGCAGGACCATACTATTACACCTGTATCGGGAAGGTTGTGTACAGAATTCAGACATGTCCTTTTTGACTACTTGTTGTTGCCGTGCCAGGACACGTAGAATATGTTGGAGGTAAGTAGATTTATATATTATTCATATTAATATTATTACTGTGTTTATTTAGGTAACGCCACATATACAAAGCATAATGTCAGACTATTTTACCTCGCATTTGGTCTTACATTTTTAGTAAAAGAAACAACAGAATTTTCATATATGGTATATGCTGATGCATGCACTGTATAATCATGTTCTTTGAAAGTTTTTTTTTAATAAAAACTCCTCACTTAGAAATAATTGTTTGACATTAAAATTAAAACTATGAAATATCTAAATGAAAAATTACACTTTATTCAGAATCAAGTTAAGATAGAAACTAGAATTATGTCAGTGTGACATTAAAGCCGCTCACCACTTTAAATTTAATTGCTTCAGTAACACGTTGAGCATCAATATCTACTATAATACCTCAGATATGTGTTCTGTATACTGCTAATTGAAAATCAGGTCATGTGAAGATGTTGCCTTTGGGATTTCCAAAATCAATCACCTCTTAAATGATGCCTTAAAAACATTTCTCCCTCTCCTCTTTTTTCACCCTCTTCAAGTGTGACGCATTGTTGTAATTTTCATTCATTAGCATCCTCCAATGATGTGACATGAGCATTTACGTGCAGAATGGCAATCGGTGATGGATAATAAAGAATAGGTGCATTTTGTGCTTGTGAAATGAAGGATAATTAACAGTAGTGGGAAACATGCATGAAGAAAAGAGACATTGTATTTTATTTTTATTTATCTTTTATTCATATAGGACAGTTAGGTGGAATGTCTAAGTAAGATTTGTCAGTAATAGTAGTATATGATAATTTGATCTGAGGGATAGGACATTTAGGTGGAATGTCTAAGTAAGATTTGTCAGTAATAGTATGATATGATAATTTGATCTGAGGGATAGGACAGTTACGTGGAATGTCTAAGTAAGATTTGTCAGTAATAGTATTATATGATAATTTGCTCTGAGGGATAGGACAGTTAGGGGGAATGTCTAAGTAAGATTTCTCAGTAATAGTATTATATGATAATTTGATCTGAGGGATAGGACAGTTACGTGGAATGTCTAAGTAAGATTTGTCAGTAATAGTATGATATGATAATTTGATCTGAGGGATAGGACAGTTAGGTGGAATGTCTAGTTAAGTTTTGTCAGAAGTAGAAGTTTTACGGCCCAACGACAATGTAAAAAATAGACATTCACAAAAAACTGAATACATAAAAACCAGAAACAAAAGGTTAAAATGTGTAAAGATGTCAAAATATATCAATTGCAAACGAATTGTGTATAAGAGATATCATATCTTGTTATACAGATTAATTGAATGTAAATAATCATGGATTTATTGCACAGAAACTGTATCAATAAGCGTTTCATAGTGGGTACATTATAAAATCCGTCATGTATTTGTTTGAAAACATATGTGAAATAGGAATTAAAAGATTCTGCTTTGTCAACAGTAAGAGACTTAAATTAGCCATTTATTACCAAAGGAGCATCATTGTTAGATTTATTATATTCATGATAGACTTAGCAACCCGCCACCACTTACCTGGAGGAATAGACTTGTCAATAAGAGAGTTTTGCAACTTGATTAAATAATTTTGCTTAGCCTCTCTTATAAGGTGAATAATTTAATTTCGCATAGTTCTGAATTTCTGCCAGGCTGTAATAATAATGATAATAATATACAACATTTATATAGCGCCCTATATAATTTGTAAAATTACTCTAAAGCGCTTTACAACATATGGATAATAATAATGGTTATAATTGTGAAAAACAAAAAACAAAGGCTTACAATCATTTTTATACATTTAAGCAAGCAATGTGCACATAATTGAACAAATAAAAGGGTGGTATTTACATGACGCCTTTGCAAGGATTCTAAAATGCAGACGTGAAGAGGTGAGTTTTGATGTCCCTCTAGAACTTGGACAGGGTATTTGACTTTCTAATAGCAGATGGTAAGCTATTCCACAATGTAACCGAAACCCTCCCAAAGCATCTGTTTCCGTAGGTCACAGTACGAGATATTTGTACAAACAACAAAGATTCTGACTCCGACCGCAGTGATCGTGACGGCTGATACAGGGTGACAAGCTCATTGAGGTACTGAGGAGGATCTGTTCCAATCAGTGCCTTGTATGTGTACACCAGAATTGTGTCTTTCGACCACAGAGCAGGGCGTTACCAAATGCACCAAAATCTGGCATGCATCTGCAGTTATAAACTGCCGAATACAGCCAATGTTCCTGATCTGGTAGTAAAAGGATTTGGCAATAGCGTTCACTTGTTTCTCCATGTTTGAGACACCATGGACAAAATCCATTCCTAATTGACAGTTGGGGTGAGAAATCGTGTTGCGACTGCAGCACTTTTAGCACGATGTCTCACCCGGGTGAGAAATCGTGCCGTAACATACGTGCCCAGTACACAAACCAACATCCACGCCATTGACATGTGCCTCGGGTATGGAGGTGCTATTTTTTTTATAGTAGTCAGGCGATTCCTGGTTATTTTGCCCGATTACTAGTTTACCATATAATACACAATAAAACATGTTTATTGTACATGTATCTTACAAGAAAATTACATAATGGGGAATATTTTCTGCGAATAGAAATCGAAATATAAAAGTGTATTTGTAACAAAACTGCAAATGCCGTTGCTGTTTTACGTAAAGCGACACAGATCTAGTTATATATTTAACAGAATTTACCATTAGCAAATATAGAGATGTTTGGATTGTATTTTTTTACAAACGCCTTTTATAAACTGTATTCGTGTGACCCACCCCAGCAGTGTTTCACTCCTCCAACCCTTTCTCACACGCGTACATAGTACTGTCGTGTACATCGGGGATCTTAAACAATCGCTACAACTAACGGAGCTGTCCGTCCTGCTTTTGGTCTAACATGGAGGACAAGGTAAACAAAGTTTTAATTGCATCTTGAAGACATCGGAATGTAGGTCCCCCCGTTCGTTAGACTTTGTCCATTCAAAATGAAGTGGATGACGAAATGCCTCCATCAACGAGTTAATACTAGGGGCAGAGACGGAAACAACGGTGGGGTCCAAAAGTTTCCGGTTGTCTATATTTCCTCATTAATATTTCAGACAACAGGAAATGTCAACTCGAGTTAATGTCCGGAGTATTTCGTTATTTCGCTTTGGCGGGTTTTCGTCTTTTCGTTATTTAGCTTTGGCGCTTTGGCGGGTTTTCGTCTTTTCGTTATTTCGTTATTTCGCTTGGCGTTATTTCGCGGACGACAAAGCGAAAAAACGAAATGTCATATATAAGGCACCATACCTATGGGTTCACGTCTTATCATCATGTCGACACAAGTTGCCATAGTTTTAGTAACCAATAGGTATTGTTGCTATTACCCCGCTAAAGTGACATGCCATTTACCTTCGTATGACGCAGGATTCAGGCTACGCCGTCAGCGTGGCTCCGTGAGTTTGTGTAGTTTGCCAATTAATACGCTGCCAACCATTGCATTTCTGTCGTGAATCCACGGTCAACATGTTTGCCTTTTAACGTCTGTAATTTTCCTACATGACAATTCCGATGATAATCGCAGTAACATTCGCGAAAATGTCTACCGGAATCGCCTCAACCTCCGCCGCCATTTTGACATCTGGGGCATGCACAATACATCGGTAAACGGAACCATCCATTGTGACAAGAGGGATAAGAGGAAATCTTTAATACTTCAGCGCGAAGGTACATAATGTAAATAAATTACTACATAATGAAAAAAAACCACTCTATAGGGTTCCCCATTGACTTACAATGTGTCGTAACTGAGGGTAGCCCTATTGCCACGGCGCTTTTGTTCCCTCATTATTGGTTACAAAACGGCTCGTCTTTGGGCAATTTCAGGAGGGTATTGCCGCTAAACACTAAACTCCGGTTTATCTTGAGCTTGATAGGAGCTTATTTGAGGACTCGTTCCAGGTCATTGAAGTTGGCAAATTTGGCAATTATGCTACGAGGTTTGCCGTCACGTCGCTGTCTCAGGCGGTGTACGTTGTCGAATGATATGCCGTCGGCATTATCTACTTGTAATTGATCCTGAATAAATGATCTAAGAACAGTTTCAGTGTTTTCAATATGACCCTCATTATCCGGAATTCCCGAGAACAGCAGGTGCAGGTTATATATTTCATCGAATGCGTCTTTAGTTTCAGGATATTATTTTGAAGTCGTTGTTGTCTTTCATTAAATTTTCGGGGGGCGGCAGTATAGGAGAGCTGTTTGGGTAATGTCCTAGCGGGTTCGATTTGCACAACAGAAGACTTCCGATTATGGAAGATGCGTCTTCTGTGCGTTCGATTTGACCTCTTATCTACTCGGAAGTTCTTCTGTCGCTTCCAGCCAGCACGTGGAAGACGAAAATCAGCAGAGGAAAAAACATGGCAGACAACAGGTGAGCAAACGCTTAAGAAAAGAGATTAGTAGGAAATTTACTCAATTTCTTTCAATGACAATGCCATTTTTACACAAAGTATCATAAATAACGTTAAAATATGCTTAAATGAAGAAATAATCTTAATTCTGGTAAGTATATTAGCAGCTGATTAGCATTACTAATGCCATCGCAGGAGTGATTAGCATTACTAATGCCATCGCAGGAGTCTGACCCGTTTTTCAATCCTGTTTACTTCAGCTACATGCACAGGGGCATGTATCGATATTATTTTTAAAAGATCAGTACTATGTGTGGTACCAGCGTGTATATATATTGTCAATATATATACACGCTGGTACCACACATAGTACTGATCTTTTAAAAATAATATCGATACATGCCCCTGTGCTACATGTAGCTATAAGTCCCCCCAGCTTTTTTATTTGAATTTTTGTTAATATCATTACACGGTGGCCATCAGAAATTTCTCGCCTTGTACAATAATGTAATATTGTTGGAGTACTATCTTATAAATCATATGAAGGCTGATTTAAATGGATGTTTGTAAGACGGTTTGTCGTAGGCCTACTGTACTGTATCATGCACATATATATACTCTGTCGTTTATTATATACTAGAGCAACATTTGTTGACACGTTCGGGTCGTAATATTTGCCAAGACCCTGTGTGTTGACTATTAAATCAGTCAGATTGGTCTTTTGTGTTTCTTTGGAATTCTACTGTTCACTTTTATTTTCAGGAGTGAAGTAGTTGTAAAAAATGGCAATCACCATACCGTAATTAAAGTCGACCGAGCGACAATGGCAGCCATACAAAGGCGTGGTAAGTAATCATGATAAAATCTCCAATCTTGCACTGTAACCATTTTGCTAAAGTATATGATTATTTAACGAAGAGGAAACATTTTAACATGTGATATGAACAGATTTTTGACCAAGGAGAGTAAAGAATGGTCGGGTGGTGCAGTGGATAGTGCACTTGCCTTTCACCAAGGCAGTCGGGGTTCGATTCCCCGATCGGACGTAAAAAGGTATGGGGTCACCTACTCGACCATATGGGTTTCCTCCGGGTTCTCCGGTTTCCTCCCACACAAAAACTTCTCGCGCACAAACATCTAAGCCAACAAGATCTAGAGTGATTAATATAAGTTAAATAACTTGTTTCATAATTGTTGTAAAATAAATAAAAGTTTATATTTATAAAGAATGAACAAAAAGACACCATCCAATGGGGAAAATGAACTATAGCTAAGAAAATACTAAAATTATGTCTATAAGAAACCTTTATTGTTTGTTTATAATAGATCCAGCCACTTTAAAGATGATTGCTGCCATGTCAAGTGGACAGGAGGCAAAATTGGACGAAGCCGAAGGTAACTAAATTTATAATAATATCAATTAATAGATGCATGCACAGCATCTATTATCCATGACACGAAAATTGATAACAAAATTTAAGTTTTAAATATAAATAGTGGTTCCTGTTATTTCTTGGCAAACTATTCCTCATTTGACCATTTGTCAGTTATGTTTACAAATATGAAATAATTTTAAGGCAAATGTAAGGAAATGGAATACTGTTTCAAGGACTTTTTGCTGATTTCTTTTCTATTGATTTGCAACTGTATATGTATTTTATAGATGCTGACCTTCCAGACATACCAGTTGCAAATGACCTTCCAGACCTACCAGCCAGTGACCTTCCAGACCTACCAGCAACTGACCTTCCGGACATACCAGCAACTGACCTTCCGGACATACCACCTGTTATATCCCAACCTAGTTCCAAGCTGTTCAGTACTAATGAAAGTTTGGCATTGATTGCGATGTATTCAGAGAGGAAAGACAAATTTAATAGTGCCAAATATAGGAATAAATCCTTATGGGAAGAAATTACACGAGAATTGAATGCCCTTACTGAAAAGACACCAGGCTTCTCCGCAGCACAGGTAGAGGGTCGATGGAAGACTCTAGTATCAGCATACAGGAAACACATTACTAACCAAAACAAGACTGGACAGGGTAGCAAAACATTTGAGTTTGAGGAGGAAATGTCACAGGTACTTGGGGAAAGACACGACATGAACCCAGTGACGATAATTGACTCAGGTGAACCCAGTACACAACCAAATGAACCCAGTGAACCTGATGGTGAATCTGATGAGAAAGGTGAGAAAGAGAAAACACTCAAAAGGAAGAGAGTTCGAAGCTCCCCCGATGTCATTGGCTTTCTAAAGGAATATGTAGAAAAAGAAGACAGAAAAAATGAGGAGAGACAAAAAGTTCAAAAAACAATGCATGATGAAAAAATGAATGTTTTCAAAAGCCTCATCGATGCAATCAAACAAAAAGATAACAATTGAAAACTCAAAATTGAATTGCTAAAAAAAATATAACCCACCTACATAAATGCAAAATGAGTTATTTCATGCTAGTCAGGATGTGTGATACAAGCCTTTTGAGCCTCTTCTTTTTGTTAAAACAGGTTAATCTGGTTGAACCATGCTAAATTAAGATAGGAAATACAAATTCTATATATTTTCATAGACATAACTTTCAGTGGTATGAATGTTATATTTCTAATATGCTGTAGTATTCATCATTATCAAATTTCATTAATGTGTATTTTCAGGTCAAGTTTTTCAAGTCATTCCACCTGAAATTTTGACAAAAATTTTGTCATTTTTGGACATTGAAGATCTGCAAAATGTAGCTTGTGTCAACAAGACATTAAAAAGTATTACATTCAACCCAATGCTCTGGCATTTATATACATCCATATGTATGCATCGTATCTCATGGAATCCATATATCTGTGCAGGTTGTCTTGCAATGTCTGTGAACTGTGTATATCTAAATATTGATGCTAAACTTGTTTCATCTCTATCATTTTTGCCAGAAATGAAAAAATTGGAAAGCCTGAAAATTAAGGGAGCACAGAATATTCATATACCAGTTTCAGACATTCAGCAAAATTTAGGCCTTTGTGTTCATCTCAAACACCTTGAAATTTCATCATTGCCGCAAGTTGATGAGAGTGTGTTCATTCATTTGTCTGAAAATCTGTCTAATACTCTTGTGTACTTGCATGTGGAAAATACCTTAACATCTGTATCACCAGCATGTTTACAAAGACTTTTGGTCAGTCTCAAAGAACTAAAAGCAATCTGCATCACTCCTTCACAGGATATTGAAGGTTGGGCATCTATATTAAATTTGTATTGTGGCAGAGTGTGCTTTGGGCATGCAATTTTAGACCGAATTCCCAAAAGACTGTTGAACAAAAGTCTACAGGCATATTGTATGATGCCTTTCAATTTTGAGGCAGATTATTGAAATGTTCAAAATTCAAAAAAAAAGATTTGGAAATAAGTCTGTAGTCTACAAAGTTGAACATATAACCATTGTTGATTATGTAATGACTCCATGTGGTTATGTTAAACAGCAAGTTTTCTATCCAGTTTACTTTGTTATTACTTTTAGTAAGTGTTAAGTGTTGAAAATCTTAAATTTACCCTGTGCTCTTTGTATCTGTAGCAAAGCCAGGAGACCATGGTAGGCTTCTACAAATTTAATTATTAGCCAGCAAGGAATTATTGCTACAGTTCAATTGTTCTTAATTGTTACACTCTATAGCTCTAGATGTGTCAAAGACCTGTCTTCACAGTTACTACATGTTTTTTTTTCAAACCAAACAATACATTTAAGTTTTTGTTTTTAGTTCTTTTGTCCAAGTAGGCTTCATGCAATTTTAATGGAACAAATACATAACAAGTCTTAAGTTGAGTGAAACCTGTCTAATCTTAACACCAAATAGCAGTGAATGTGTTGGGATTAGACAAATTGTCTGATATGAATACATGTATTTTGTTAAGTAATGTATTATTTTTTACAATTTTAAAGTCCATTATTCATCCATTCAATGTCACTAAATTTGTACCTTGCTAAAATTCACAAATTAAACAAGAATTGAGATTTACAATTTATTCCATAAGTATTATTACATTTTCTATACATTTAGATATTATACATCTAATTATGGTACCTAGTCCATTGTTTTGTCCAATTTGTTTATTGTTCATTACATTTTATTTTTGTTACTGTTATTGTTAATTATTATGTTTTAAATTTCCAGTCCAGGAAAAATAAATGTGAAATCCAATATTTTTTCTTTGTTTTCACTTATGAATTTAGTAGTTATTAATTAGTTTGCCATGTGTAGACTATGAAGTTACATATTAGCAAGCTGGTTGGTTATCTGTAATCTCTTCAGAGGTCCTTCTGCATCGTTTTGAAACAACTGTCCTTGTGGAATGGGTACAGGGGGTACAATATCATCCTCAAAATGGTCTTCAAGTTCATCGCCTTCTAGAATGCACATATTGTGCAATATGCAAGCTGTCACTATAACTTTGCAGATATATCCATTATCAACCATGTCAACAAACTGCAAGCGCCGAAATCGCCCTTTGAGTATTCCAAAAGTGTTCTCGATAACAACTCTGGTACCTGACAAAGCCCTGTTGTACTTAACCATATCACGCTGGAGGTGTCCATTGTCTCTGTATGGTGTTAATAGCCAATGCTTGCATGGATATGCTCCATCTCCCAGTAGATGATGTCTACCACAAAACACAGGACCATTTAACCATATCTGGGAATTTTTTAAAACTCGGGCGTCATGTACACGGCCAGGCCAGCCCACATTTATATCTGTGAACATTCTGTTTTCTCTGCACACTCCTTGAAGTAAGATGGAATGAAATTTTTTGCGATTTATGTAATCTGGAGCATGTTCATGTGGTGGTTTAATACGGATATGTGTACCGTCGATGGCACCAAGTACATCTGGGAATCCTTTCATTTGTTGAAAGTTGTCTATAATTGCTCTGTAATCAGCACGAGCAGGCCACGAGATGAATTTTGTTTTCAGGTGCAAAGTAAACACATCCAGAAGTCTCCTGTTGTGGTCGTTGAAGGTTGATAGTGATACGTCAAATCTGTCTGCAATAGACCTGACCGTCTCTTGCGAGCCAAGATACCATAAACCCATCAACAGATCTTTTTCTATTGAAATTTGTGGCCGTCCTGCATTTGGTTGCCGTGGATGCAATTCTGGATAAGCTGCTATGTTAGTTGCAATTGTCTCAAAAGTACTCCTAGAAACTCTAAAAAAGGTTCTGAAAGAATCAGGGCTGTATTTTGGTACCACTTCTTCCACATAGTTTTCGATTCGAGGCAAATCTCTCCGCCTGTAAATGAAAACAAACACTGTAAACGTAAAGCTAATTGAGTTCTGAAAGCAATTACACTGACATATACTTTTATGGATAGGGGGCCTTAAACCTTATCAGTAGCTAGGCCTTACATGTAAGTAGAATCGACAACTAAATTTACACATTTATTATTAAGATATATGGCGCTTCTAAAGTGGGTTAATATAAAACATTTTTCTTACAATGGCATTGTCATAATCCCGATTACAACGGTATTCATCGTAGTCAATCCACATAGCTGAAAATCTTCAACATCGTCATCCAGGCACATTACAGCTGCCACAATATCGCCATCAGACGCCATGTTTGTTTTCCTAAATCTCGTTCGATTCAGAAGATCTTCCACCTCTCTACTTCCGGTTTGAGAAGAGGCAAATCGAACCGGCTATCCGTGTAATGGAGGGCTACCTCGGTGTACGGGTACGTGTACTATAAAGCCTAAGCGACACTCCGAACGTGCTAGGCGACATGCATGTACATGTAACAGGTCTCGGTATGATACCGGTTGCCGACATCGTTGAATACTGACCACTATAATAATAGCCATCACAATAACCACTCCCATTCGCTACAATGTTGTGTTGGTCATAACGACCATACAGCGAGCCATGGACGTCCGCAATTACTGACGACAGTATCCGGGTGGGGGTCGGGGCAGCCATTTGCCGAACGTATACTTTTTCGGGTGGGGGGATACCTGTAGTGGCACTTTTGCTCCTTTTGCGTTTACTGCCAATCACATCACATAATTATCTTTTCCAATACATTCAGAACCACTCAGTCTGTTAATTGTCCAGTTTCCATAAAGTAAATGTCCGTAGAATGCTCAAAATATCAAAAACGAATCAGAGAATATACCTGAGACGTCCGTTCGCCTGCCTGTCATGCGCAGTCTCATCTTACAGTAGACGACCTACCAGTACAGGCGTGTGCTCTGGCTTTACTGAAATGGGGATGCCCAGGGGGCGTAACGTGAAGTACCGGTGAGGGGTAGTGCACCCCGGCTGAGCTAAGGCCACCCCTGATAGCTCCATTCTGGGTTTTGTAAACGATTGCTTGGTGTCAAAAAAAGTACAGGTACTGATTTTGTATATTACGAGCTTGGTAGACAGTCACGTTACATAAATAGAAAGTTAAAAGTTATAAAATACTGGTTAAAATTAAAAGAATCCAAAAATTGTATATTGGCCACATGTTTAGAAGAGCGATTAATAATGAATGATGATTGGATAAACAATATTAAACAAGAACTAGATAAACTTGGTTTATCTTACTTTTGGACTAGTAATGCTATAAATGGAAATATGTACAAAGTAGTAGAACAACGATTTAAAGATGGTTACACCCAGGAAATGAGAGCAAGAATTATAAATGCTGCCAGAGGTGACCTATACAAACATCTAATTGATCATTTTTGCATGCAATATTATTTACTGAAACCTCTTGATAATATATATAAAAAATCTATAGCCAGTATTAGATTGTCATCATGTAACAATATCGTGCTGTTCGCGTATACATGTGCTGTGTACGATCACTGTGCCGTTTACCTGTGTTGTTTTTGTACACGTGAGTATGTTGTCACCTGTCACTTGTCTTACCTTGTTACGTCCATATAAGTTAATTGTTCTAAATATAGGTGTTACCTCGTTTTCGTTAGTGGTCAGTCCAGTTGTCTTTGTTACATTGGCGCCCAACGTGGGGCCCCGGGAAAAATACTCGGCCTTGCTCCACAAGCATCGCTGTTACCCCTGGAAAAACTCGAGGACGAGTTCTTTCCTGGAAGGGGGAGTATGTAACCCTGGTAAATACTAGCCGCAATATATCGCTCGGCTAAAAACTTCTCTTTAGCTCGATCGGTTGAGCGTTAGACTAGTAAGCCAGAGGTCCCGGGTTCGATCCCATGCGGAGGTAGTGATTTATATTTAATTAATCATGCGCTCTGTTACAATCACACCAGTTAAAAATCGAACATTGATAAGAGACGCAGAATATGTGAATGTTGCCAAAGTTTTGAAATTGAAGATGAGTTCCATTTTATACTGCAATGTCCATTTTATATAGAAATTAGACAAAGGTATATTAAAAGGTATTATTATAAATCACCTAGCGTTTTCAAACTTGTGCAACTGTTAAGTATAAATAATGTTAAGGAACTAAATAATCTTGGAAAATATATTCATTTTGCCTTTAAGAAAAGAAAAACGCACTTTGGCTAAAAGTGAATATTATCGTTATATACCTCACATATGTATTTCAGGTATATTTCGAATTCTAAGAAAAGCATGACATCGCTGAAAACGAATTATTACTTTTACTTCTGTCTGTCTGTATAATAGTAGTATGATTGCTGATGTTGTACAACATATATGTATTATTAAACTTAATCAATAAGTGGTACATAAGTGGTAGATTGACTCAGCACTAATGTAATCCCATTCAAGGTAACATTGGCTCATCTCCGTCAGTATGTGTCTGTTAAGTTAAATTTAACTTAAGTTAATTTTTCTTGTACTATTATGTTTATGATGTATTTTATACATACATGTTTATGTTACTCTCTGTGTTCGGTATGCTTGTCATGCGAGATCACTCTCCAAATACGTATGCAATAGGTATGTTTTGTAACCATGTATACCTTGGCATTCTGTCGTTAAGTAAAGAAAAACATACTTTGGCTAAAAGCGAATGTTATCGTTAAACACCTTTCATATGTATTTCATGTATCATTTCGAATGCAAAGAAAAGCATGCCTAGACTGAAAAATAATTATTACTTATACTTCTGTGTGTGTGTGTGTGCGTGTGTGTGAGTGTGTGTGTGTGTGTGTGTGTGTGTGTGTGTGTATGTCTGTCTGTCTGTATAATACAAGTATTATTGCTAATGGTGTAAAATGTATATTCATTAAACTTAGTAATAATTGGCATTGATGTAATCGCATTCAAGATAACATTGCCGAGGAGTTACCTCCTGTCTCGGTTAGTATGTTGTTTGTGTATCTTATACAGACATGTATATGTTACTTTCTGTGTTCTGTATGCATGTCATGAGAGATCACTCTCCACATATGTATGTAATATT